ATTTTGTAATTCTCATCGTAGAGATCTTTGACGCACTTGGTTAAGTTTATTCTAAAGTATTTGATGATTTTTGTGGCTATTGTGAATGGGATTGATCTTAGAAGTTCTTTCTCAGCCTTTGGATTGTCTGTGTATACAAAGCTGTTGATTTTTGTGCATTGATTTTATATCCTGCTACTTTGCCAAACTCTTCTATGAGTTCCAATAGTCTATTAGTAGAGTTCTTTGGATCCCCTAAATAAAGAATCATATTGTCTGCAAAGAGGGATAATTTGACTTCTTCCTTCCCAATTTGTATCCCTTTAATTTATTTTTCTTGCCTAATGGCTCTGACTAAAATTTCCAGTACTATTATTGAATAACAGTGGTGAGAGTGGGCATCCCTGTCTGGTGCCAGATCTCAGTGCAAATGCTTCCAACTTTTCCCCATTCAATAGGATGCTGTCCGTGGGTTTTTCATAAATTGCTTTGATTGTATTGAGGAATGTTCCTCTGTACCCAGTTTGCTTAGGGTTTTCATCATGAAAGGGTGTTGTATTTTATCAACTGCTTTCTCTCCATCTATTGAGATAGTCATATGGTTTTTTTTCTGCAGTCTTTAATGTGGTGTATCACACTGATTGTTTTGCGAACATTGAACCATCCCTGCATACCAGGGGTAAATTCCACTTGCTCTGGGTGGATGATCTTTCTGATGTGTTGTTGCATTCTATTGGCCAGGATTTTATTGAGGATTTTTGCATCTGTGTTGATCAGGAAATTGCTCTGTAATTCTCTTTCTCTGCTGCATCTTTTTCAGGTTTAGGAGTTAAGGTAATGCTGGCTTAATAGAAAGAATTTGGAAGGATTCCCTCTTTTTTGATTGTTCTGAATAGTTTGAGAAGAATTGGAGTTAGTTCTTCTTTAAATGTCTGGTAGAATTCAGCAGTGAATCCATCTGTTCCTGGGCTTTTCTTTGTTGGGAGGGCCTTTATTACTGTTTCAATTTCTGTCTCAGTTATGGGTCTGTTTAGGTTTTCTATGTCTTCATGGTTTTATTTAGGTAGGTTGTTTGTGTCCAGGAATCTATCCATTTCTGATAGATTTCCCTGTTTGCTGGCATACAAGTCCTTGTAGTAATTTCTGATGATTCTTTTTTTTTTTCCTGTGGTGTCTGTAGTTATGTTTCCTTTTTCATCTCTGATTTTATTGATTTGGGTCTTCTCTTTTTTTAGTTAGTTGGGCCAGTGGTGTGTCAATTTTGTTTATTTTTTCAAAAAACCAGCTCTTCATTTTGTTGATCTTTTGTAAATTTTTTTTTGGATTCAGTTCTGTTGATTTCTAATCTAATTTTAATTATTTCTCTTCTTCTGCTAGTATTGGGTCTGGTTTGCTGCAGTTTTTCTGGATCCTTGAGATGCATTGATAGCTCATTTATTTTATGCCTTTCCAATTTCTTGATGTATACACCTATTGCTATAAACTTTCCTCTTAACACTGCTTTTGCTGTATCTCATAAGTTTTGATATGTTGTGCTGTTATTCTCATTTACTTCCAGAAAGTTGTTGATTTCTTCTATGACCCAGTATTCATTCAGGAGAATGTTCAATCTCCATGTGTTTGCATATGCTCTAAGGATTCCTGAGTTGCTAATTTCCAGCTTCATTCCATCGTGGTCTGAGAAGATGCATGATAGGATTTCAATTCTTTTAAATTTGCTGAGACTTGCTTTATGGCCTCGTATGTGGTCAACCCTTGAGTAGGTTCCATGTACTGCTGAGAAGAATGTGTATTCTTTAAGTATAGGGTGAAAAGTTCTGTAGATATCTTTTAGATCCACTTAGTCTATAGTGTCATTAAATCTGCTGTTTCCTTGTTGGTCTGTCTGGTTGATCTGTCTATTCCTGAAAGTGGAGTATTGAAGTCCCCCAGTATTATTGTATTGGATTCTAAGTCTCCCTTTACATATCTTTTAAATAAACCAGTGCCCTGTAATTAGGTGCATATACATTTATAATAGTTACATCTTCCTGTTGAATTGATCCCTCAATCATTATATAGTGCCCCTCTTTGTCTCTCTTAACAGTTTTTGTGTTAAAGTGTATTTTGTCTGATATTAAGATGGCTACACCAGCCCTTTTTTGGTTTCTGTTGGCACGGAATATCTTTTTCCAACCTTTCACTTTCAGCCTGCATGCATCTTTGTTGGAAAGATGTGTTTTTTGTAGGCAGCAAATAGATGGGTTTTGTTTTTTAATCCATTCAGCCAGTTTGTGTCTTTTAACTTGAGAGTTGAGGCCATTTACATTCAATGTGGCTATTGATAAGTAGTGACTTTGCCCTGCCATTTTTCTAGATATTTGTAATACTTAATTTGAGCTTCCTGTGATCTTGGCAGTTTTCTTCCTTTACCTTCTTTCGTATGGATGGCTGTGTTTCTGTGTTTCTGTGTGTAACACATCTTTCATCATCTTTTGCCGGGCTGGGTGAGTGGTAACAAATTATTTCAATTTCTGTTTGCTATGAAAGGTCTTTATTTCACCTTCATTCACAAATGAGAGCTTTGCAGGATATAATATTCTGGGCTGGCAGTTTTTTTCTCTTAGTACTTGGGCTATATCTTGGCATTCCCTCCTGGCCTGTAGGGTTTCTGATGAGAAGTCTGCTGTGAGTCTGATTAGAGATCCTCTGAGAGTAATCTGACATTTCTCTCTTGCACATTTTAGAATCTTTTCTTTATGTTTCACTGTGGTGAGTTTGATTACAACATGTCTTGGTGAGGATCTCTTTTGGTCACGTTTATTAGGGGTTCTATGAGCTTCCTGTACTTGGATGTCTCTGTCCTTCTCCAAACCCAGAAAGTTTTCTGCTAGTATCTCACTAAAAAGGCCTTCTAATCCTTTCTCCCTCTCCATACCTTCAGGAACTCCTAGAACCCAAATGTTGTTTTTTTTTAATAGTATCCTGTAGATTCCCAACTATATTTTTTAGAGTTCTAATTTCCTCTTCTTTTCTTTGGTTTGTCGGTATACTTTCCTGTGCTCTGTCTTCTAAGTCCAATGTTCTCTCTTCTGCCTCACTAATTCTGTTTTTAAGGCTCTCAAATGTGTTTTTCATTTGTTCTATTGAATTCTTCATTTCATTTTGGTTTCTCTTCAATATCTCCATTTCATGTTCTACTAAATTCCTCATTTCATTTTGATTCCTCCTTAATTAAGATTTCATTTTCATGAGAGATTTTCTGCGCTATCCTGTATGTATTTCTGTAGTCCATGCATTTTTTTTGATAACTTCTAAACGTTCTTATCATAAATTTTTTTGAAATCTGTATCTTGCATTTCTTCTATCTCATCATCTTCATAATCTTGTATTGGAGTGTCATGTTCATTTGGGAGCGTCATGATGTCTTCCTTGTTCTTGTTTCCTCCGTTTCTGCGTTTGTTGTTTGGCATTATGGAGAGATTCTTTGGTTTCTTCTTCTTCTTCTTTCCACTGTGGCGGCTTTTCTCGTTATACTATGACTATAGATTAAGTGGACTTTCTGGTTTTGGTGAATCTCTAGAGGCTTTTGGTGGGTGTGGCCAGGGAGCTCTTTTCAATATGTCAGGGTTAAGCGTATGCCAGACGTGATATACCAGGTTTGGTGTAATATCTCTCTCTCTCTCTCTCTCTCTCTCTCTCTCTCTCTTTTAATTCCGAAGGGAAGTAATTCCATTCAGCTGAGCTTTTCTCCTTGATGGCAATCAGTGCCTGAGCGCTAGTCCCAGTGGGTATAATATTTGTCTGCTCTGTCCCAAGGACCACACAAAGGATCTGTTCTGTCCTCAGTGTAAGCTCAGATTCCCCTGCAATGTCTCTCACCGGGTAGCCAAGGCCACCTGAATTTGTGGTGTCTCCCACTGAGACTACTCACATCTCAGCCACACCGTGAGTTTTCCCACACACCCTAAGGCTTTTTTTTTTTTTTTTCACATCCCCAGTTCATAAGCTCCACACATTTACTAGGTCTTAGTCTCCTGTTATTTCTCCCCACCAGAGTCAGGTTTTTCTGCTTGGCTGAGGGCAGGTGCAGCCCTGAGTTGGCACAGCTGTTACTTATGTCCAAAATGGCGCCTGCTCTATTGTCTTGTTTGCCTTTGTAAGGTGAGTGGAGAGAGAGAATCATGTCCATACTGGTCCCCCCCCTTTTTTTCTCTCTCTCTTCTAGTTAGGCTGGTGTACTTCCCCCATGGGGCATCAAGCCTTGTTCCCTCTAGGCTCTTCTTGCCACTTTTCTGCCAGTGTCTCGGGCTACAGTGGTTTCGCCTCACCTCCCTTTCCAGCGCTGGTGCATATACTTGGCAGCCGGGGTCCAGAGCTGTTGGCACCAGTGCCCTCCACGTAGGTCCACCATGTCCCTCTAATTCCGGAAGAGTTTCCTCTGCAGTTTTTTCCCTAACTCTTCCCTGAGACTACAGTATCTCCACTTTTACTAAACTATCTTCCTGGACTGTCTGTGAGCTCCCTCTCTATTCTGCCATCTTCTAGCTCTCTCTCTATCTTTACTTTCATGTGTTGGTCAAGATTGTGATTTTTTTTCAAGATTTATTCAGTTTTTATTTGAAAGGCCGTATGACAGAGAGAGAGAGAGAGAGAGAGAGATGAGAGAATCTTCCATGTGATAGTTTATTTTCCAAATGGTTGCAATGGCCATGGCTGGTCCAGGATCTAGGGTCTCATACATGGTTGGCAGGGGCCCAAGTACTGGGGCCATCATCTGCTGCTTTCCCAGGAAAATTAATAGGAAGCTGGATCAGAAACAGAGCAGCCGGAACTAGAATCAGCATTCTCACATGGGTTGCTGGAGTTATAATTGGCTTAACCCACTGCACTACAAGGCAGGCCTGATGAAGAATGCTTATTTCAGTTCTTAGTTTGTATTTTCACAGTCCAAGATTGAATGTGGCCTAACTGGTCTGTTAAGAGTGGTAGATCAGACCGGTGGCATGGCTCACTTGGTTAATCATCCACCTATGTTCTAGTCCCGGTTGCTCCTCTTCCAGTCCAGCTCTCTGCTGTGGCCCGGGAAGGCAGTGGAAGATGGCCCAGGTCCTTGGGCGCCTGCACCCACGTGGGATACCAGGAGGAAGCACCTAGCTCCTGGCTTTGGATTGGTGCAGCTCCAGCCATTGCAGCCGTTGCGGAGTGAACTAGCGGATGGAAGACCTCTCTCTTTCTCTCTCTCTTCCTCCCCCCACCCCGGTCTGTAACTCTCTCTCTCAAATAAATAAATAAATATTTTTTAAAAATCTGTGCAAAAACTTGCACATGAATGTTCATAGCACCATTATGCATAATAGCCAAAGAGTAGAAATAACACAAATGTTCATTACTTGGATCACTGGGTAGATAAAATGTGGCATATTCATACAATGGCATGTCATTCAGCCATGAAAAGAACTGAATATTGATATATGCCATAACATGAATGGATTTTTTTAAAAGATTTATTTATTTACTTGAAAGGCAGTTACAGAGAGGCAGAAGCAGAGAGAGAGAAAAAGGGGTCTTCCATCTGCTGGTTCACTCCCCAGATAGCCGCAATGGCTGGAGCTGAGCCGATCTGCAGTCAGGAGCTAGGAGCTTCTTCCAGGTCTTGGCACGTGGGTGCAGGGGCCCAAGGACTTGGGCCATCTTCTATTGCTATCCCAGGCCATAGCAGAGAGCTGGATCGGAAGAGGAGCAGCTGGGACTAGACCCGGCACCCACATGGGATGCCAGCACTTCAGGCCAGGGTGTTAACCCGCTGCGCCACAGCACTGGCCCCTCCAAAAAATTTTTTTAAAAATTTATTTGAAAGAGTTACAAGAGGTGTAGGGAGTGGAATGAGTTTAATTTTCATATGCTAGTTTACTGGGCAAGTTTCCACAATGACAAGGGCTGAGCCAGACTGAAGCCAGGAGCTAGGAGCTTCATCTAGGTCTCCCAGGGGGATGGCAGGGGCTCAGCCACTTGGGCCATCTTCTGCTGCTTTCCCAGGCGCATTAGCTGGGAGCTGGAGTGGAAGTGGAGCAGCCAGAACACTAATGAGTGTCCATATGGGATACCAGTATTGCACGTGGTGGCTTTACCTGCTGTGCTACAATGCTGGCCCCTGAAAATATTTATAAATTAGTGGCTATACTTGTATAAGTGTGAATTTACTAAAAACCAGCGAGGTGTTCACTTTAAAAGGATGAATTTTATGATGTCTAAGTTGTATCTCAGTTTGCTAATAAAAAATAGTAAGAGGATATTTGGTATATTTCTAGGTTGAAGGAAGACAAACCTTGAGTGATCATATTTGCTTGTCTTAGACCAGTCGCATGGTGACTTCATGATTTTGTACAACAGTGTATTGAAGCTCATCATATTTTAGTAAACTATATAAAATTATTATGTTTAAAATATATCAAATTTATCTTGTAAGTAGAAATTGTACGTGACTTAAGCTATCTGAATTCTAAAATGTAAGCCAAAACATGATTATTTAAATTTTACTGGTATACCAGGTATAAGAAGAGTAAAATGAATTCACCTGAATTTAGATTAGAATGTGTAATATAAAATGTTCCTTAAAAAAAAAAAGCCTCCTTTATCTTAGTGCTAGAGTAAATGTGATTACTATATTGACCCACCTAGAAAATAAAGAGAGCATTTTACTTTTGTTAGATTTCTGTTAGTTAATCATAAGATCATGTTGATATGTTGATATGTCCTGGAAATCATGTTCAAAAAAATAATCTGGAGCCAGCATTGTGGCATAGAAGGTTAAGCCTCCACCTGCAGTGTTGGCATCTCATATGGGCACTAGTTCCAAGTCTCACCTGCTCCACTTCCAATCTAGCTCCCAACTAGTGGCCTGGGAAAGCAGCAGAAGGTGGCCCAAGTACTTGGACCCCTGCACGCACATGGGAGAGCTGGAAGAAGCTCCTGGCTCCTGGCTTCGGCCTGGCCCAGTCCTAGCTGTTGTGGCCATTTTGGGAGTCAACCAGAGGGTAGAAGATCACTTTCTCTATGTATCTTTTGCCTTTCCAATAAATAAATAAATAAATATTTAAAAAAAAAATATGTTACTTTGGAGGGGCTACTGTAACGAATCACCATTGAATTTTGAGCCGGATTAGTAGATAACATTTGAGCACTTTATATCAAGCACTGTTTTGTGTTCTCATGAGTCATCTTTTTTTAATCCTCACAACAACCTTTTGAGACACAGAGAAAGTAAGTAACTTGCCATTGTCAGTCACATAGCTTACGAATTAGAGGAGCTTGGATCAAACCCAAGCAGTCTGTTTCAAGATTGGAAGGGGTCCATCTTCTTAGCCCTAAAGCTATTTTAGCTCCCCCAAAGTAGTTTAGGATATTGAATGTTCTCAAGATCTATGTGAGTAGTGCAGATTATAGTTGAAGTTTATAAAGCTTGAGCATTACACCACAGTTACAAATATAGATGCACAGAAAACATGTTTCTCAGGGAACAGTAGAGACAATACGCAATCCAGAGGATATGACCGTCATTCTCATTATTTTTCCCTGCCAGTATGAGGTGAAAGCTCCTGTTCCTTCTGCCTGTTTCAGGAATATTTGTAAGCAAATGGCAAAAATGCATGAAGCTATATTTGATCTCCTTCCAGAAGAGCAAACACAAGTGAGTAGTAATTCCTAAAACTACTTTATGTATGTAGCATATAATAGCCATGCAGAATTGCCTTTTTTTTATATATATGTTTTGGCACTGTTATACTTAATTTATGTTCTAGTATGGTGAGCACCATTTTTTTTTCAGGTTGTTATGTTGAGTATTGGGAACATAGATAAAAATTTCTAATTCTTGTCAGTGTACCCCTTGCTGTAACAGATCAAAAGTGTAGCTTTACTGTGGTCAGCAACTCTAAAAAGCATGTTTTTCATTTGTTCATTATTAGAAGTTCCTAGCTTCTACTTACATCTTTCCTTATATTATTAAGCTGAAAGTCAGTGTTATCATTTATCAGTAAGTAGTAAAATATGTTACTGTGATTATAATTCAAATTAGATATGGGCATAATTAATCATGAAATTAATAAGGTTAACACACATTAGCTACCTCAGTTAACCTACCTGATTGTTAATATTTTTTAGGTCAGCATAAGTGATGTGTAGTAGGCATAAACTGGGGAAAAACAGCAAAATGGTAGTCATTGGCACTTTTCACCTGTAAAGTTGCCATTCTGTATTCCTCCAAAAATGTTATCACTGAATTTTCTTCACGTATTTTACTTTCGGAACTTTGAAGGTCCTGGTATTCCTTTTTTCTCGTGTCATCTTTATCCATTTTAGTTTCTTCATTCTGAACCAAATGATCTCATTTAATCCTAGCTGTGGAATGAAACCATGTTGTTGTAAAAACCTAGTTGTTACTAATGAACTCTGAACTAATGAGTAATGAATTTTCACTGGGATTTTTGCTATTCAGACAAGTTTATTTCAGTTTGTCTCTAATTAACTGAGTGCATGAAAGTGGTATTTGGGAGCAGAGGATGGATTTCTTAGTGTCACTTGTCTACTTTTGCTCTTTCTGGTGTCCTTTCCCATGACACCTCAGACTCCATCACACATTAGTGATTAACAGCTTTCTTTCATACTTCTCTAGATTTTCATTAATCATACCGACTTCTTGATTGGTATGATTGGATGTAGCTCCTTTGAGGACTGAGAGAAAGCCGTAAGATATGCAGTGCCCACTAGAGTCTCTTTTTTACCTTCTAATTTCTTTATAACCAAGCCATCCTTTTCATTTCACATGTAGAATCTCACACTCTAATATTCTTGACCTGGATTTGCCAACAGAATTCTAATTCTGCAGCAAGACTTAGCTAGGTGAGCAAGCTGGGTATACAGGTATTTCATGTGATTGTATCTGCATCTTAATTTAAAGGGTAATCTTGTTAAAGCTAGGCAGAAGGGGCTGGTGCTGTGGTGCAGGAGGGTAAGCTATTGCCTGTGATGCTACCATCCCATATGAGCACCAGTTCAAGTCCCAGCTCCTGCATGTCCTATCCAGCTCCCTGCTAATGTGCCTGGGAAAACAGTGGAAATGGCCCAAGTACTTAGGTCCCTGCCACCCACTGGGAGACCCAGATGGAGGCTTCTGGTTTTGACCCGGCCTGAACTTGGCCATTGTGGCCATTTTGGGAATGAACCAGTAGATGGAAAATCTCTTTCTCTGTTTCTCCTTTCTCTGTAACTCAGCCTTTCAAATAAATAAAATATTTTTTTAAAAAATGCTTGACAGAAGAGAAAAGCTTGAAAGAAGTAGAAATTTTATGGTAATGTCATCACTTGATTACTAGTAATTCCACAAAACTTCCGTAGATGATTTCAAAAATTTTTGTTTATTTGACATACAGAAGGAGAAAGAGACAGGTAGAGATCTCCCATCTACTGGTTCACTACTCAGATGCAGAACAACCAGGGCTGGGCCAGTGCAGAGCCAGGACCTCAGTCTGAGTCTCCTTCATGGGTCATAGGGTCCCAGTTACTGAAGAGATGACCTGTTGCCTCCCTGGGTGCCTATTAGCAGGAAGGTGGAGTGGGGAGTGGGGCTGGGACTCAAACGCAGGCACAACAGCCTGCTCAGGGATGTGGGTGTTCCAAGTGGTATCTTCACCACCACTCCAGACATCTGGCCCCTTGGATGCTTTTATACATCTGCACGTATTTTTCTACATCTATGTATGTTTTATATATCTATGTATTTTTTATATTTTTCTCTTGGAAAATAATGCTACAGAAAATCATTTTTGTAGATTAATTATATGTAATGTTAGGTCAGATGGTTTCCAAAGAAGTATTAGATCATTGCATTAAAAAATCTGCTTGTAGGAACAATAAAATATTTTAAAGTGATTTTATGTTTCCAGCATTGTGGCTTTTTTTTTTTTTTATCAAGTTCCTAGTTAATTTATTACACAACTCTCTGTTTTATTTATTTTTTACCTGTGATGGTTGATCCTACTTAATATATACTACAGAAGTTCTTTCAAGATGCAGAAAGGCAGTCCAATAGCTAAAAGGAGTACTTCTGAGAAAGGAAAAAAAGAACTTTGATTCAACTCGGGAGAAAAACCAAGGTGAAATAGCAATTAAATAGTTTCAGAGGAGTGTTTTAAAGTGTATGCCAAGACAAAAGTTTCGTTGTTTTTAATGCTTTCTGCAAATAATATTGATGACTTGGATTCTTACATCTTGTATTTCAGTTTAATTTTAAGAAACTTGATTTTAATTATCTTCCAGATGCTATTTTTAAGAATTAATGCAAGTTACAAACTCCACTTGAAAAAGCAGTTATCTCACTTAAATGTGATAAATGATGGAGGACCTCAAAATGGGTAAGGTTTTTAACATTTTTACCATACGCTACTATAATGAATTGTTTTGTTGATTTTTTCTTTATGCTATCCTGTTCTACTATGATACTGGGAACCAAAATTATAAAGTTAGCAACCTTTTGTTTCCCTCTCCCCACTTTGTGGAAGTGATATCTGTTTGCCTATCTGTATGCTGTATGTGTGTATCTGTGTATCTGTGTTTAAGTGGCTTATAGTCAGTTACTTCCCTGATGTTATATACAAGGGCTTCAAAATTTTATGGAAAATGAAATTAAAATATAGGCACATTTTCCAGATACTTTTTGAAATCCTCTTATACCTATTTTGAGGCAGTGTGAGTTAGGGGTGTCTTCTAGATACTTAATAGTATCTACTTTCATTCTTTTTTTTTTTTTTTTTTTTAAGATTGATTTATTTAGTTGAAAGGCAGAGTTACAGAGAGGCAGAGAGAGAGAAGGAGAGAGAGAAAGAAAGAAAGAGTGAGAGCAAGAGAGAGAGGTCTTCTATCCACTGGTTCGTTCCCCAATTGGCTTGCAATGGCCAGAGCTGTGCCAATCCAAAACAAGGAGCCAGGAGCCAGGATCTTCTTCTGGGTCTCCCACACGGGTTCAGGGGCCCAAGGACTTGGGCCATCTTTTACTGCTTTCCCAGGCCATAGCAGAAAGCTGGATTGGAAGTGGAGTAGCTGGGACTTGAACTGGAGCCCATATGGGATGCCGGCACTGCAGGTGGCGGCTTTACCCACTATGCTACAGTGCTGATCCCAATAGTATCTACTTTCAAAACAAATTCAGAGTCCTGCTTATTCTATCAGATCATGTAAAAGTCATTTACACTCTGTGCCTTATTTATAAAATCTGCCTAATTCCTTCACAGGATTATGAAAATGTGTAAGTTTATATTATGTATCAATTCTCTTACAAGATGTTGAACAAACTGTTGTATCTAAAAGGGAAAATAGGAGTTAAATTTGAAAACTTAGTTCTGCCACTTACTAGTTGTGCAACTAAGCAAATCACCTTTTTGGAGCATGTCTTCCTAGTTTTTAAAAGATAAAAGTTCCCTCACAGGATTTTTATGGAAAGGAATATAGATAAAGATAGGGAGGAAAGATTTTACAAATGTAAAGCAATGATTATTTAGTTACACTTTAACGACTTGTTGGATGTTGCCCGTCTCATGTTTCAGGAATAAAATTGTATTCTGCTAAAGGAATTATGCTTAAATTT